ATTTGTTAAAGTAGTGATGTGTCTGATGCTTGTGTAATGAGTAGCCTTATTGATGTTTTATTCAACTTTGTGCAATTTTTTTCACTATATGGTAAACTTAACTGGCATTACATGACCGGATGATCGCGCAATTATTTTTTAGTCATGTGTATCAGCACTAGTCTCTGGCGGGAACGTGCATCTCTCACGTAACACGGCAGTATAGGTATGTCGGTTTTCACCCTCCCTCTCTCCTGGCTGGTTCTCACTCCCTGTCCCCTAACATACACAGACGCGGTGATTGTCTTTGCATGATCCTAGCGACATCCCTCAGTGGCAGTTAGCCAGTATTGGCATTCCACAATTCGCCTCGCCTGAGATCTGACTGTACTATATATCTCACTAGGGAAAATTCTTTAAGGAATTTTGCTTATATAAACTCTATAAAATCCCGCCAGACAGTTTCACAATGGACAAAATCCCATCAGTTTAAGTTTATTTTGTTTTTTATATCCTGAAAATGTTATGTTATTTTGAGTTACCTCAGGTTAGTTTAAGTTAGGTTGAATTACGATGAGGTAGTATAGATTCAGTAATTAAAAATGGTTATAGGTTTTGTTACGTTAATATTTGGATTAGGTTAGAATACAGTATTATTGGTTAAGTTAAGTTCGGAAAGTATAGATTAGGTTAGTATTAGTCAGGGTGGTTAGGTTAGGATAGTATTGGTCAGCTTGGGTTAGGGAAGTATATAGTTAGGTTAGGTTAGAATAGGTTATGGTAATATAACTTAGGAGGGTATAGGTTAGGTTAGGACATGTTAGTTTAAAATAGAATAGCCTAGGTTAGTTTAGGCTAGGATATGCTTAGTTTAGGTTAAGTTTAGTTTGGATAGGCTACGTTAGAATAAAATAGAAGAGGATAAATTAAGATATGATGAGGCAGGTTTAATTCCGTCTTGTAACACTAAAATAATTCAGAAAATCATACCTGCATGAGCGCACCATGGTCTGTGTATACCGCTGGGCAGGCTTACCACCACAGCCAGCAAGACGCACAAGCTTACAATATTAACACCAACATGACCGCTAAACCATCTATTTTTTAAACGACACCAACCAACCAAACTCCTAACCACAACCTAGACTAGCAATGTTTGGGATGCTTTTGCTTAAATTAAGTTAGGTTTCGTTGGTTCTTGTCTGCTTACGAAAAAATAATAAATACTGTAGGTTAAGCGCTCCTGTTCGTGGTACTTTTTTAACTGTATAATTTATTTGTAATTTAAGGTTTAGGTGACAATGTTGAATTTTAGGTGCGTTAATTTACTAAAGGAAAGGGAACATATAGTTAAACCATGCATCGTTCCGTTCATTATTGTAGTATTTGTATAGTGTGTAAGTTAAGACCTTTGTTGCATTACTTGACGTGTGTGTGTGTGTATATAACTTAGGGTGAGTGACGACTTACTTAACTCGTTGAAATTAAAAACGTCACAGCTGCTGCAAATTGATGACTTCATAACACCCGGCAAGCTTATGACATCACAAATTGGTAGAATGATGACGTCTTAGCGCCTTCACATACACGCACACACACACACACACACACTCAGCACACAAACATACATGTATACACACATACATCACACACACACACACACACACATACACCACATTCACAAACATACATACACACACAACGCACAAATATCAACTTTTCCTTTATGATGTAACACTGATAAACGTTGTACAGTATTGTGTTGCCAGCAGCTTCGTGTGACCATAACATTTCCACCTTCATCACAGTCAGAACAGTGAACAAGAACACGTCGCATGGTTTTGTCGGCTGATGACCCAACACACTGAATTAAATTATTTCACTGACTTAACTGAACAAATTGGATTAATCACATCACCTGAGATTAGGTTATTTACCTGAAGATTAAACACCCTAACTCTACCTGGGGGTGTTAATTTAGGGTAGAGTAAGTTTGGGTAAGTTAGGTTAGGTTAGATTAGGTCATGATAGGTATTAGATTATATTTGGTTAGATTAGATTATGGCTGGTTAGGTTAGGTATTAAATTATATTTAGTTAGATTAGATTATGGTAGGTTAGGTTAGGTATTAAATTATATTTGGTTAAATTAGATTATGGTAGGTTAGGTTAGATTAGGTATGGTTGGTTAGGTTAGGTTGGTTGAATTAGGTTGGGTATGGTAGGTTAGGTTAGGTTTTGTTAGGTTAGATTAGGTTGGGTTAGGTTAGGTTAATTTAGGTTAGGTTTTGTTAGGTTAGATTAGGTTAGGTTAGCTTGAGTGTTTAATCTTCAGTTGATACAGTTGAATTGAATTGAATTGAAACAGTTAATTTAGCCAGAAAAACACAGATACAGAGTGGATAATAATAACAATATTAACATGGCTGAGCCAGTTGAGAACCTGAGCTCTCTTTGAGGCACCTGATATATACTATACATTTATCTCAAGGAAGTATTATGTAACATTTAGTATCATCTGGAATAGTACACATAGCATGGTGGTAATAAGAACATATCAGAATGTTACCACGGTTATCACTTCAATGTTTATTTATTTTATTTATTTATACTTTTTTTTTAAATTTTAAGTATGTACATGAATTACAGTGGAATTGAAAACCATAAATATAATGGGGGAGCAGTACAACAAGGGTTGTACAGTATTAAGGTTGAACAAGAGGACAGAGCTGTCAGGATTATGTCTAGTTGGCAAATATGCTTATTGCAATGGTAATTTCCTATCTATTTACATGATAATTTCCGATAAAAAGGTTTTGATGGTACAATAAAAGCAGGTACTGTAAATATAATAGGTATTACAGTAAATATTAATACTTAGACAATAGATATTGGTCGTATTAAATAAAACCTTGATATATAGAAACAATAACAGCTTAATTTTCAACTTTTTCACTTGGATATCAAATATTTACGTAGCTACTTTCACCAAACGATCACCTTACTAAAGTTTTTTTATTGGATTTTGAGAAAGTTTTCAAATAACAAATTCTCTTGACCTCCCCCAGTCGCTTCAGCTCTCAAGAAACCCAATATATCCAACTGTCTTATTTAAGTAGCATGAACTTCTTCGTCATAAAGGAGCCCCGGAACACTGTGAGGTATATTATGGTCTTAAATATAAACACACTATCGACACTTTACTTAAAAAACACAAAAGTTTTCCCCTGTGAGCTGAGATACTTATATACTTAATGGAGGTGTAGTGGTGATACTTACAAACTTAATGGGGGTGTAATGGTGATACTTACAAACTTAATGGAGGTGTAGTGGTGATACTTACAAACTTAATGGGGGTGTAATGGTGATACTTACAAACTTAATGGAGGTGTAGTGGTGATACTTGTATTTGGAGATGCCTGGGGGGGGTTGGGTTAGCTTAGGTTATGTTATGTTAGATTACATTAGGCTAGGCTGTTAGGTTATAATGGGTTAGGTTAGGTTTGATTAATGTTAGGTTAGGTTAAATAGGTTAACGCTAGGGTGTTTAATCATCAGGTGAAATAATTTTGGGTGCCTAATCATCAGAAGATCTTAATGTAATTTTTTTTCAATAATGAAGATCTTCTAGAATTTTAACTTGGTTTGTTCAGACACTTGACAACACCTGTTAATTAGTCTTATTTATAATTTTTTTTAACGTATCGGATTGATTACAGTCTAAAATGCTTTATATTAAAAAAATCAAGCATGTACGACCGCCAGCTGAATTTTGTTACTGTGTTACTAGGCTTCAACAAAAGTCTTTGAAGGACGTAAACTAAATGATGATTCATCCATATATTTTACGATAATTGTTCATTTATAATTATCACCTCATTCTGTTGTAAGTCGCACGTACAGTATATATTGTATACATTTATCCATCGTGATAGCTATACTGTATAGATGTATCTGCCTTCAGGAGCAAACTGTATTTATATGTTAGTATACCTTATATAGTGTTCTAGTATACCATGTTACGTATATTTATTCGTAAGTATAAGTATTTGTAAAGATTTAGGTCATTTGTAAGGAAAATATACAATCATTTCCAACTGATGAGTCACATAAAGGTGGCGCCAAAGCCTAGCAATAAGTAAAACCTGCACCTAAATCTAACAGGAATGTACCTACTGTCTGCTCTCCTCGTTTCCTCCACCCCTTGAACTCAGAAGACTGCCGCTCAAGAGGGAACTAAGAATTCGGATGTAATTTCCGAAGCGAGTTGAGTGCCAGTCGAGCTTACATCATTCCCGGGTCACTCTCGGAGGAAATATAAATAAACATGGCAACAATTTCTGAGTCTAGTCACCAGTTGCACGAACCTGCACTTCTCTCGCCTTCCCTTACAATATCCCGACTACAATAGAAAGAAGATGGTGTCTGTTGGACAATAAAAAATAAAACTCACTACCGACAGAAGCCCAGAGTGTTGACATACAAAATAATGTGTTCAAAGGGCTTTTCGCCACGTTAGCTCCTCGAGGATTTTGGAAACTGGTGTAAATATATTGAAAAGTTCCTGGAGTTGTGTTGTGAATGATGAGCATTTGCTTTATGGAACCACATTCAGTTCTTAAAATACCCAGCATAAAAAAGACTTAGAAGCACACAAAGTGTACAACATACTACAAGAAAATAAGAGAAGAGAGATTCCCGCGGTGGCATCACCAAAGATGTTTGCACAGAGTAGCCAGTCAGTTACCAGTTTTTCTATTTCACTTATAATTTCAGCGCACAGCGTGTCCACGGAACACATCGTTAACGCGTGTAAATCAACGCTTTCTTAGTGAATATTGTATATATATTGAGCTTTTGTAAGGTATCACAAAGAGACTTCAAAGTCAGTATAGATGTTAGGCTAAAAAGAGACGTATCGACTTGGAAAATAGAGACACTAAAGCGTGGACAATATCCACTCTGAACGAAACGTAATGAAAGGGAGAGTAGAGAATGTCCTGAGATTTCTCACTTTCAGTCTACGCTCATCGGCGGTGGTGGAAGGACGTGTTGTCTGTGTGGTGACGCCTACTGTGTATGGTGTTACAGACACGTTTTAGTGTAGCTGGCAAAATATATTGGACTGTACACAATGAAGTTCCCCATGAAAAGTAGAATGTTTTGTATCCGGCTCTGATCTGTACAAGTGTTGTGTAAATGCTTTATTTTGTGAGTATTTCATAATTCTAGTGTAAAGTGGTGTCGAGTTTCTGGGAAAAGTTGGATGTGTTGTTGAAGATTGTGACAACGACCAGCAGCTGTACGGTAAGTGCATTGCTATTGTCTACTGATTAATGTGTAATGTAGTCCGCGTTTTACATGATTTGGAGGAAGAGTCATGAAATATTAAAGTTAATGAAAGATTGTGTGATATATCTGACAATTACTACACAGTAACAATTGCCACTGTAGGTCCGTGGGTTTCTGTTGATGGGACTGCCAGCTTACTCCCATGTTTGGTCACGACAACAAAATACCTTCTTTATGAATTCCCCAAAATAAAACCCTTACTTGTCTGGGCTGCCACACTTGTCAGGTTTTAGACTCAGGTTTGTGACCTTGGTAAGTGCGTGGGATGTTCACTATGACGTCTCCGACAGGCTGAGATGTTCAAAGCAGACACACAACGTCAGTCCCTTGCTAGACTGCTTGTTGGGCCACGACTCACAACTTGTTTATGGTCACAAGAAGAGCTTGAGTTGCATTTGAGGGTGTAAGTGTAGGCGAGTACACCTCCCGCACTGTTGTTGAAGGCTGTAGGGGTACTCTGATGCTCTGTCCTCATCCCCACAACCTCATGGTAAAGTACATTCTTTTAGCTTAATTTTTCATCCAGAAATATAATATAAAAGACCTGTGAGAATTCACCATTGACCATCCCATCCACGTGAACGGTATAGAAAACGGCGACGAGTGAGTGAAACGTAACGCCACACGATCAAGTGCATCAACCTCTCCCTTCGTCAGTCGTGGTTGTAGGAGGATGTGAGGCGTACAGCACCTTCCCGCTCCTCTGCCAAGTTAACACAGCTTCTCGGCAGATACACGGCCACACCTTTAATGTTTAATTTCGATGCGAATTGAGAATCGTTAAGGTTATCGTCAAGGGAGGGGAGAACTGGGATGTGTCTACGATTCCTGGCATCGCCAAATGCTCGTGGTGAATAAGCTTGGTTGGCTCAATGGTAGCGATTTCTTGATTTTTTATAAATTAATTCACCAGATGTGATTAAGTAATCCTCATACATGAACTCGGATTTATGTGCACATAAACATTAATTGTGTACTTTACAGATACTGAACATTTAAATTCAAATAATTTTTCTTAAATTTTACACTTGAAAGATATTTCATACAAAGTATAACGAAAACTTATGAGAACTAGTGAAATTTGTGGGCAGCTCGGAGCACCACTACCTGAGGAGGGAGCCAAGGTTAGGCATCACAGTGTCACATTTTTTTATATATTTATTTTATCTCCTTTCTTGAAAATCTACGTCGATGAGTTGCGAAATTATGGCGGCTCTTGTGCCATAGATGCGAGTGTGGGCGTAAGTGGTGGTACAGATGGGCAGGTGTGGTGACAGTGGGAGGTGGTGAGTGCAGGTGGGGGAGACGGAAACAGCAGTCACATGGCCGATGATACACATCTTTCGTGTCACTGTTAGTGTTTGTTTTTGTTTTTTCTGTGGATTTTCCTGGGGTGAGCTTATGTCAGGCCACTGTGTGTGTAAGTCAGAAGAGGCACATAATAAAAGTCCTCACTCACGCAACTTAAGTGGAAGATGTGAATTTTATGTCTTAAATATGTTTTTTTTACACTCAGGATATATATATATATATATATATATATATATATATATATATATATATATATATATATATATATATATATATATATATATATATATATATATATATATATTCAGTGTACTGTACATAAAAATTTCCGTTCCACTGGCTTGACTTACTTGACTACTGATGGTGCTACATAATACTTAAACTTTACAACACTTAAACACACTCCTCAAATACAGCTGCTACATAATGCTGCTCCATAATGTTTGTTGTTTATACTCGTAAAAAGTTCCAAAGTTAGACAACTCACATGTTCAGTATGTTTATACCCGGCCAGCACGTGTTTCTGGTGTCTCGCTTCCCGACTGTCTTCATATTTTAATGTATTTTCCATATCCTCTACTATTTTTATTTTAATGCAGTTTTTGTTTTCCATTCCTTTATTGGAGACTGTATATACTATTGTTATTGTCCACTAATGGTTTGATTTCGAAATATTTTTGTGATATACAGTTATTGTATATTTTTATGTACCGACGTACCTTAACTGTGTGTTATTGTTTTGTTGTAGTAAATGACAACTCTTTCGGTGCTACTACTGTATAGTATGCGGTCTACCGAGCTGGAGTTGGTCTACCGGGACATTTACACTGTAGCGTCTATAAACCCAACCAAACTTAACCGCTTCAGTGTAAATATCCCGGCAGACACAACTCCAGCTCGGTAGACCGCATACTATAGTAGCACTACTTTTTCATTATTTTCTATGATTTAATATTCGAGATGTTTGCCTCCACAGCTTAGAAATTAAACCACTAGAATATCGCCTTCGCTTAGAAATTTGAGAAAAAATATGTGAAATCCACCACAGCTTAGAAACTAGATTAAAAATTTTGTACAGTTGGCTACCTGTGAATTCTTCCTCGGCTTAGGAATATGTTTTAAAAATACCAAGTAGGTTTGCGTATAACTTAAGGTTAAGCTAAGAGATGTCAAAATCTACTGTACAGTGTTTGAATACTACCCCAGCTTATAAATTTGATTGAGAATATATAGGGTACTTGAAATTATTAAAGTATAGAAATTTGACCCCTATTTAAATGCCATCTGACTGAGAAATCAGATCAAGACTGCTCTGTCTGTATGGGCACTACTGTATCTCGGGTTAGAAATATTTGATCAAAATTAACTTTAAACAGTTGAACATTTGTTACATTACTTCAGCTAATGTCACCTTAGCATTAAACACCCTACCTGGGGGGTTAGGTTAGGTTAGCTTTAGGATGGTTAATCATAAGGTGAAATAAACTTGGGTGCGTAATCTTCACGTGGTCCGAAATAAGGTGTTATATACAGTTTATATCAAACCTCGCGCCATACTGTTATTGCTTTACCTGATAAAAGGGTCTAATATTTTTTCCATTTGTCTCATAACTGGAATTTGGACATTTAAAGCTAAAATTGTCTAATGGTAGACCCTGCTGCCATATGGCATCACGAAAATTGTGACCAAGTCCCAGGTTGCTGATCTGACTTTCAGCCTCATTTACACACAATTGCAGTCTCATTTGTTTCTCGTACTTTGACAACACAACATACAGTATTTCTTTATGGTTCTTTATTATTATCATTGTTTTATTATTTTATTTAAATTTTTTTATTTTTTATTATAAAATTTAATTACTATGAATTATTATTATTACATTTTCGCCCCCCAGGCCCCGATGTGGGTCAGTGACCTGTGCCCAGGTGGGCTAATCCCCGTAAAAAAAAGAAAAAGAAAAAAGAATAAGGGTGCTGGTATTGAAGTTAGTGTACAGAATAGGATTTGAAGCTAAACGAAGATCTGAAGTTAGAATAAGGGAGGTGAAGCAACATTAAGAGGCATAAGATATATAAATAAGAGTGGACAGGAGTACGTAGTTTGAAGTAGAGACGCTTGATAGTTCCTCATCCTCGGGGTCGCCCCAGGCTGAGGTACAAAACATCCTGGGACTGGAGATCGATTCTCATGTGGTGGTGGGCGGCGCTGGTAAGTTCCTAATTGAATTTCGTTCTTATCGTGAGTTTGAAGGAAAGTCTCCTCCACTGATAATATTCTCCTGATGAAATGTCGAGTTTTTAAGAAACGTGATTTATACATGTACATTATATATATATATATATATATATATATATATATATATATATATATATATATATATATATATATATATATATATATATATATATATGCTCATAACCACAAGGAAACAAGGAAACACGAAGTTCCCACTCACACTAGGTGTTGACACAACAATTATTAGTATTAGGTATTGACTATATTTATTGATACTAAATACTGCATTGACTCACTGTTGGTATGATTAGGTTACTCATACAAATTACCAAGGACGCATGAAATTTTATAGACTACTATATTATATTATAGTTCAGCGTATGTGGCTGCGGAATATTAGATATTAAATTATTATTATTATTAAGAGATACTGTACTGAAGTGTATTTGTTTATAATGATTACATGTAATAGTACAGTATTATTATTATTATTATTATTATTATTATTATTATCATCATTATTATTTTATTAGTTTTATTTTTGTATATTTTATTATAAATTTTACTTATCTGAATTATTATTATTATTATTAGTAGTAGTAGTAGTAGTAATAGTAGTAGTAGTAGTATTAGTATTATTACTACTACTACTACTATTACATTTTCGTCCCCCAGGCCCTGATGTGGGTCAGTGACCTGTGCTCGGGTGGGCTAATCCCCGAAAAAAAATTAAATAAATAGCGGTATGTCGGTCGGGATTTTTAGCGCACGATGTAGCCTCGGGTATAGTACGGTAGGCCAAACATCATATAAGTGTATATGTTTACTGTTATATGAATCATAAAACAATGCTATATACTAGGCCTACGGTACTTGTGTTACAGGTGTGACTTGTGTAGGTTGGTAGCTACAGTTTTCGGTAACGGATTTATATTTTTAAACATTTACGTAAAATTTTGTACGATTCTCAGTTTCATTTCCTTTATATACTTATTTAAACCTCTATGTAAAGTTCTATACGATTATTATCAGCTTTATATATATTATTTATTTTAAACTTTTATATAAAGTTCTATGCGATTCGTAAGTTCTTGTGTATGTATTTTCTTGAGCTGTTTACCTGTTAACCCTACCTGGCGTGTATTTGAATCTTGGCGCCATTGTTCTTGTTCCGAGCTGAGAGAGGGGGATGGGTCGGGGGTGAGGCCGGGGGTTAGGTGAGGAGGGAGGGTGTATATATGGAACAGGTGTGTAGTGTAACAGGTGTGTGTGAGAGAGACAGAGCACACTCCTCATCCCACACCAGCACGACTCTCACACCCTGCAGCTCACTGTGATGTCTCTGGCCACTGTACAGTATATTGGATCACCTGAAGATTGAGCCTTTTCCCTAGCTTATTTCACCTGA